CTCAGAAAACAGTAGCCTCTTTATGGCAGAGCTCTTGTATGACCTTGACTGGCATCTGGACTTGGATACTGAAAGGCATGTGAATTCAGCACACGCGCCTTGGAGGAACACTCTCGAGTGCCGGGTCTGAGCTCTAAGAATGTGAGAAAATAGGTCATGTGAGCAAGCAGCCACGTCTAAGAAAGATAGCAAAAGAGCATATCAAGAGAAGTGTCTGGCTGCATGCAAGGGCTCAGCCATCAGGGGCTGGACAGGATGTTCCAAGAATTAGAACACCAGATAGAGTTAGAATAAGTCAACATGCTGTTGCTACTGCTTGATAATACGGAGTATATAAAGGGCATGCTGCAAAATAAAGATGCACTGCATGCTGGACACAGTAGTCATCCCCCTGGTTTATCCTTCCCAGGCGCGCTCCAGGTCCCAGACCCACTAGACGTCCACAGGCTAAGCAATCACTAGAGAAGAGAAAGAACGGAAAGGGGGAGTCTGGGGACCAGGCTCCCCTATTGCCATCTCTGTCCTCATGGAGCTTTCGGACTTATTACATTTTATTGCTACGCTTCTCTGGAAATTTTTTTTTATTTTCCCAAAATTTCACGCCTATTATTAGAAATATTTTTTAAATATAGCAAAATGAAAGTGAAAAAGTGACACCTACCTATGTTCCCACCATCCAGCACTAATCTCTGTTAACATTTTGGCATATTTGTCTCAATGGCCTTTTTGAAGTTATTATGTGGGAAATTATGCAAACACTCATTTTGCCATTTGTATGGGGAAGTTTATCTTTCTGTTGCTTTTTTTCCAGTTAATTGTAAAGCTGAACATCTTGCCACTCATTTTTTCGTCATCTGAATTTTCTCTTCTAAAAGAAAAATAGTAGAGCTACTGGGAACTCGTCGCTATTTTCACCTACATGTTTGAAATGTAGACAGACTTGAATTCTCTGTAAGTCTGCTGTTCTTGTTTTGGTATCAAGATCAGATTAACCTCCTTGAGTGTGTTGGGTAGATTCTCTATCTTGTTTAGATTCTGTTGCACTATGCATTAGAGAGGTTTCTTTCTTTTTCTGTGGCGCAGTAGAAAAAACGACTTCAGCCTAGGCATTGGGGAGGTTGAGCAGAACTTCCACTAACACTTTTCAATTTAATTAAGAATTATTGGGCTACTTTTCTTGAGACAGATTTCGTAATTTGTATTTTTGTCAAAAATCACCCCCTATTATCTAGGTTTCCAAATAAATGGGTATAAAGTTGTTTATCGTATTTGCTAATACCTTATGAAATGTTCACCTGCCATGTCTCCTTTGCCATTTATACAGAACTGGGGTACAGGCCAGAGATGCGGAGGGTGAGAGACTTCACCAGAGACAGAGCGGGGAGCAGAACAGGCAGATCGATGAAGTACACTGCCGAGGGGAGCAGCGGGCAGTGTAGGTCAGCCATGCCATGTGGCTCTCCTCTCCTCCGGGGTAGGCAGGGATCGAACTCATGCGGAAATGGCTTAAGCTTCTTAGCGCTGTGCTTTAATCTGCTGCACCACCAGGGAGGGCCTTCTTGATCAATCTTACAAGAATTTGTCTCTTTTGTTAGTCTTGTATAGAACACCAGCTTTTAGTTTCCATAGTCAACTTTGTTTTGTTTCGTTTTTCATTTGAGCATATCTGCTTTTTTTTCTTGTTTTCTCTGGATTGATTTAGCTGTTATTTTTCTACTTCAAGCCAAACACTTAAATTTCATTTTCTTGTTCTGTAGTAAGTACACTTACAGCTATAAATTCTCCTCTAATTATTGTTTTTGTTGGGTTCCACAAGCTTTGTTATGTCAAGCTTTCATTGTCTTACACTTATGTTTTGTAATATCCATATTAGTTTTCTTCTTGATCTGTACGCAGTTTTCAGTGTTCATATGTAAGTTCCTTTTCTTGCTTTAACACATGTATCATAAAATCTTTCAAAGTACAAGAAGGTCTAAGCATTAATGTAATAGATAAACCAGTGGAAGAAATAAAACTCAAATACACGCTATCATTTTTCATTTTCTTTTTCATAAGTAACGGATGTACATAATAGAAAAACAAATCGTCCATCTCCTAGGCCCCTCCTCAGAAATAACTGCAGTTTCTATGGTCAGGAATATTCTCTGTGTTGTATGGGTTTCATTTTGGCTCTCATTATGTTGCTAGGTTTTAATTTGAATCCATTGTGGTTTGTGAATGTGGTCTCTAGATTCTTTGGAATTACTGAAACTTCTTTTGTGGTTAGTACAGCGTCAATTTCTGTAAACATTTCAAGAATGTTTGATAAGAACAGATGTGCTGAAGATCTTTTTCTAAAATGCAAATCTGATTGCATCACTTCTGATGTCTTCTGTGGTCTTTGGGCCAAAGACTGACTGACCCCTTAGCCTATAATTTGACCTCCAGCTTCCCCTCTAGCCAGGACCTCAGCTACTTTCCTTACATACAACAAATCCACACACATGTAACTTGTACGATTTAGGGCCAGCTTTAGAAGGAGGCACGAACTGTGTCCAGTGGCCGTCCAATTTCTGGTACATCCAGGGTTCTAGTAGGTACTCGGTCAGCAGACCAGACAATGGGTGTCTCCTGAGAGTGGAATCAAGCTAAGGCAGGACAGTCACCTGTGGTGGGTCACTCATCCTTGAACTCCACTACTTACTCAATGTTTGCTCATGCAGAACCCAATCCACCTCCTTGACACCCCCCGTTGCTGTGTCCCTTTATGTTCATTTTTTAGCACCTTCCCTCTTCCCTGTTGAGACCACAGTGGATCACTTCAGAGACTCACCAATACCTTCAAGCTGCTTTGCCATCTCCATCAGTTGCATATGCCCCCACCAAACTCCACCCCAGGAGAAATACATCCTGAGTCTCTGCTCTGATGCCACTATGGCATGGAGATGGGCACTTACATGATGGGGTGCAAATTAGGTGACTGGCTGAACTCTCTACATTCAACCTTGGCTGGAGCCACACACTTTAATTTCCTTTGTTATCTGTTCCAAACCTTTGACACGCCTCAAATCCTTTAGTATCTCTCCAGACTATTCAGTGGAGCAATAGTTTGCAGTTTTTTTTTTTTTAAGAAAACAGGAAACATCGCCTGTGAGCCTTCACTTTGCCATTTCTCCCCCTTTCCTCCTTCTTCAGAAATGTCTCTCTTCCTTTCTTGGCAAGTCAGTCTCCATATACCAGTGACCCCATCCTCTCCTGTCTCCCCTGTATTTATTCTTTTGATTATTCTCTTTGTTCCAGAGTCTCCCCTACCCAAGCCACCCCTCCTAAAGGTAGCCAGCATGCCCTCTTCACTCCCCCCATATCTCTGTGTTTATTCCTGTTGGAGGTTGGTTGAGAGTGTCCTTGCGGGTCTGCTGGTTCTAGTGGCTATCAGACCCTCAACTCTTAGCATATCTTCCCTGACCCCTCTGGAACACGGACAATTCTACCCTCATCCTGTTTCTCACAGCTCACTTCCACCAGTCACCTGTGACACTCCTCAGACTTTAACTCCTTTCTTGTTTCTTTAATCCTTAAATGCTGGAGTATCCCACGTTTCCTCTTCTCAGTCCTCAGTTTTTCTATCTCTACACCCCAGGAAAACACAGGTTTCTTTCCAAAGGTCTGTAATTCCTATCAATTACAAACAAGTGCTGCTGTGGGACAACCTTGGCTTATTGTCACCAGATGCAACACTTTTCAAGAGCTGTCAGATATCCTGGGGTTTATGTGCATTGCCTCAACTTTGCTGAAAGTAGAGTTGTTTACGAAACTGTGCCAGGCCAACACAGCAGAGATGCTCCTCCTTTCAGGCTGTTCTCATAGCTGACTGGCGCTGAGGCAGTTTACCAGATACTTGACTAGTCACGGCCACACACAGAGGACCAAGTAGTTTGTGTATGGGAACTCATTTAATCTTCAGGACAATCCTATCAACAAAGGCCCTATTAACACTCTTGGCTTTACAGATGAGCAAACCGAGATACTCGCTTCCTTTGTATGCAGTCATGAGCCTCAGGGAAATGCACTGTAAGCACCGGCACTCAAACCCAGAGGTAGAGGGTCCAGCTCTGGAGGGAAATTGACTTTAAGCACCGGAACTCAAAGCCAAAGGGTCCAGCTCTGGAGATCAGACTTTTAACCACACACTCTTGGCTTTGCGCACTGAGCAGATCAGGAAACCGAGGTCCTGAGACGTTTGAAGTTAATGGTCGGGTAGGGATTTGAAGCTCTCAACCTAGAAATAAACACTCGCAGTTATTGTTCCAGAATCAGTCACCTGTTTCCCCTACGGACTGCACTCCCAGCTCTCAGGCTCTAGGGAAATAGAAACATCTGTAAAATGAGCACCACCGAGACTCGACGCAGCACCTTCTCCTCGACACCTTCACTTCTCACAACCATCCTCACGCAAGAGTAGCGACACTGATTTTTGAAATCAAGTTTTATTATCTGTCATTCGTTTACAAAACGATGCGTTATTCGGGGAGCACAAAGTTGCACGTAGACGTGCGCCAGCAAGGAGCTGTTAGCCCGTGCGAGCTCTGAAGGACGGTGACAATCACCATTTAAAGATGAAGAAACCGAGGCTCAGAGCAGCGCGGGGACTCCCCAAGACCCGGCGGGGAGTACGAGGGGTCTGGCTGCGGCTTTCCACAATGAAACCCCCACAGCAGGGAGGTCAGTCCATCGCAGGGACATTCAGCCCCCGGCCCGGCCCTGGCGGGTGTGGGCGGCGAGGGGGGGCGCCGCACCCTGCACCTTCTCCGCTCGCGCGCACCCGAGGGCGGGGGCGGGGGCGGGGCGTGGGCATCCACCCGACACCTTGAGGTGCGCAGAAAGTGCCGCCACGCGACCTAACGGTCGGCATCTCGCCAACGGCTCGGGCACGAGTACAGGAAGTGCGTCACTCGGTGGGCGGGAGAAGGCGGCTACGAGAACCAATGGGAGCGGCGCGTCCGCACTCGTCACGCCCGAAGGCGGCGCTGAAGCCGCTTTTCTGCTTTCGCCGCCGGCAGTGTGGGTTGCGCTTTGCTGCTGCGGAGGGTAATGCGGGGCTCCAGGGCGCGAGGCCGACGCGGAAAGGACAGGGTCGTAGAGAAAGGAGGCGCGGGGAGACGGAAGGCTGGGCTAGCCAAGAAATGGGTGCTGGTGTACTCGAGTGCCATGACGGGGTGTGGCTTGGGGGCCGGGGCGCCTCCTCATCTCTGAGGAAAGGGGCCCAGAGAGGGGCAGCGGGGACAGGTAGACTGGACCTGGACAGCTAGACTAGTTCCTCTCACAAACACTTCACAACCGCAAATTTAGTTGAAAAAACACCGTAGTCATAATTTAAGGCGAAAAAAAAAAAGCCGAAATACGGAATTCTGTGGAAACTGAGTGAAGGCGGCACCGCTGCCCGCACGCTCCCTCACGCGCTCCCAGCTTGTCCGCCCCTGAGTGTAAAGCCTCAGGCCAGCGGTGTTCAGTCAGGCGTTTACTGGCTCTTCAGACGCTAACGGCGGCGACGTTACTTCACCAGGCTCTGAGGCGGCGGCTATAAGTCGAGTCCAGTCTCCACAGTGGAGTCTGTTAGGCGAGAGGCTCAGGTCCAGCCTGGGCAGGGCCGGACAGGCGCTCCAGGCCCGGGGGCGGCCAGACGTGTGTGCTGACCCCTTTAGGTTTGAGAATGGCAGAGAGCGGACCTGGACCTGCCCCTCGCTGCTCACTGACCGCTGGCCTGGGCCAGGACTGTGCTTTTGTGGCACGTCCCCCGTGGCCGCCCCTTAACAGCGTGTCCCCTTGTGCCGCCCAGCCGGTTCCCTCGTCCACAAAATGGCGTCAGTAACGCGCCTCATAGAAGGTTCTGGTGAGGCTCTAGGCAGCGCATATGAAGCACTGACACGCAGCACCGTCGCACCAGTGGTGGCGAGGATTTAGATTTGCTCCACGATTTAAAAACTTTGAAGTATTTAAAAAAACAAACAAACCTGTAAATCCATTGTACAGTTACCTGGGTAGGGCCATGGTTAACCGTCTCCACACCCCACACCCCCCTTTAAGGAGACACTGACCTCTGGGCATAAACGAGCCTACTTTTGCCCTTCACCCCCGTCTTCCTACCCCCCTTCCCGGGGGCTCTCCACTCGATAACGTCTACCTATCTTTGCCGGGTGACGTGCCCGCGAACGGGTGACTTGCGAGTCTGATGCACGGTGAGCACCATCTGCCCAGCGCCACGTGAAGAACGTCTTCTCGCCAACCCCCAGAATCCAGTTCTCCCCTCCGCAGATGATCGCTGCCCAGGATGCAGTGGGCATCATCCCCCCTCCACCCATTTCACCGAAGGGTTTACAGTCTAGCTCCCCAGTGAATGCGGGGTACGGTTTTAGCAGTATTGAATTTTGGGTAGTCTAAATGGATTCCACTGGCTTGATTGTTCCGCTTGAGAGTAGGTTTATGAGATGCACCCATCGAGGTGAAGAAGCTCATTGCCCTTTGGGATTCTCGGGTGACCTGGGGGCTGAGGTAGGCATTCTTCAGCTGCACGGCTTATAAACCCGTAGCCTGGCACACGTGGAAAAGCTGCTCAAAATGTGCACGTATTGAACTGCGATACCCAAGCGTGCTAGTAACACCGTTGTCTGAAGCAGTTTTGAGGGTTCATACTCTGCCAGCTGTGGATGAGAGGCTGAGCGTCAGCTATTCCTAAGAACTTATGCCTGAATGGTGACGGGGAGGACATTGACTGCTGCGTTTTTAATACTCATTTGCCGATAAGACACTGAGCGACTTTAAGTGTATTTATGAATCATTTGTGCACCTGCTTTGTAAATTTCTGTTGCTGCTTTTCTTTTACAGTTGTCTTCCCCATATCGACTTGTAGGAGTTCTTTGTGTGATCTGAGTATGAATCTTGTGGTTTACATGTTTTTAAATATGTTCCACATTGTCTTTTCTCTTTTTTCCTCTGTCAGGTGTTTTTGGGCAACAGAGTTTCTTAATTTTAACAAAGTCGGGTTTTATTTTCCAGTTTTTTTTTTTTTAGTTAGTACTTTTAAAGAAATTCTCTGCTTTTGGGTCACAAAAGATATTCTTCATTGTCCTCTAAAAGTTGTACCTTCTTTAAGACCTTAATCCTCAGGAAGTAATTTTTGATGTATAGTGTGAAGAAAGGATATAGCTTTATTTTTTTTTTACATAAAGATAATTGTTCTGGAATCTTTGAGAAAAATTTGCTTCGATTTAGAGGTCCATTTCTTTAACATACCAAGCATCTTCATGTATATTCTGTTTCTGAGTTCTCTTTCCTGTTGCTTTGGCCTTATTTGTCTCTTTCTGTACATGATTACACTTTATTGAATTACTGTAGCTTTATAAATGTATAAGAAGCCTAGGAGGGCAGTAGGACCTCACTTTATCTTCTTTAAAAATGTCTCTTCCCATTTTGCCTTTATTTAGGCTGTGTGTTTTATGTACTTTTAAATTACCTTGTTTTACCACAAACAGCCACACCAGAGCCGCTGTGATTCTGATTACAGTTGCATTGATTCAGTTGCATTGGGTCAATTCAGATTTTAAAGTGATTACTTTCAACATTTCATTCTTAAGTTTTGTTTGCTCTCTGTTTTTGGAGATGTCTTTCAGATGATAAAGGAAGTTCCCTTCTGTTCACATTGGTTAGTTTTTAGTATAAATGAGAATCGAATTTTATTAACTCTTTTCTGCATCCATAATATGATCATATGCTTTTCCACCTTTATTCTCCTAATAATGTGACTTACTGAATTTTTGGTATTAAGCCATTGCTGGGGTAAACCCAATTTGATCATGGTTATAACATCTTTTTACATCGTTAGATAAACCTTTTGTTAAGTTCTGTTGCAGCTGTATTGGAGAAGATGCTGACCTTTCATTTTACTCGACGTCTTTATTAGGTTTTAGTGCCCAGTTATGTCAGCTTTATGAGATAATTTGGGAGGGTTTTTCTTTTTCTGGTTTTGGGATGATTTGTGTAACATTTGAAATGATTTATTTGTAAAGTATTTGGTAGGACTTCCATTAGGATCTGAAGTTTTCTTTGTGAGAACATACGCTTCCCATGAAATGCCTTAAATGGTTATAAAATACAACACTCTTTGAGTCGGTTTTGATTGAGTTTCCTATGACTTTATACATAAAACTTCAAATTATTGTTAGAATTTTAAAAACAGTTTGAATCTGGTAGTTTCCCTTTTTTAATCCAAATAATATAAGTTTTCTCTCTTTCTTGGAAAATCTTGTCAGAGGTTTAGCACTTTCATTTTTTTTTAAATCATTTTCCCCCCAAAGAATAATTTTGGGTTGCTGCTCTCATACTTCCCCCCTATTTTATTAATTTCCATACATTATTTTCTTCCTATAACTGGATTTAGTTTGCTGTGCTTTTTAAAGTTCCTTTAGGTGGACACCTAACTCATTACTTTTCATGTCCCCCTTATAAAAAAATACAAACATTTAAAGGCAATAAATTCCCCTGTAATGCTTGAGTTGCTTCCTACCAGTTTTTAGATGTATTATTTTTTAATTCATAATATTTTTTAATTTTCAAAAATAGCTTTTTGATATTTAGGAAATATGTTTCTTAAATTCTAAGCCATTTTTCTAGTTATCTTTTAGTTTCTAGATTCTAAATTTATTGCACTGTAGTCAGAGAAAGTGTTCTCTGATTGACAATCAGTTTTTAAATTTTGCTTAGGCTTTCTTTCAGCTCGGTATGTAGCTGTTTACATAATTTTTCTGGGTGTGCTTCAAGATTCTGGAATATTTAGTTTTTGATGCAGCCTTCCACATGTCCATCTAATTCAGCTTTTCCTGTGACATACACGAGTTCTCTGCCCTTACTAATTATTTATTCATTTTATCAGTTATTGTAAGAGATATGTTAAAATCTCCCATGTGATTGTGAATTTCTGTCTTTGTAGTTTTAGTCATTTTGCTTAAACTGTTTGACATGCTTTTATTTAGGTGCCTAAATATTAGAATAGTTACCGCTTCTTGGGAATTGAACCATTTTATCTTTTTGTGGTGACCGTCTTTATCCCTGATAATGCTTTGTCTTAATGCCTATTTTACAGCCATACCAGTTTTGGCTAGTTCACAGAACATATGGTTCTTCTATCATTATACTTTTTAATTCTTTGATGTTCTTATGTTTCATATGTTACTCATTGCCATACTTAGATTTTACTCATTATTCAGTTTGATGAGTTTTTTTTTTTTT